ACGTCCTTTATGGATGGCCTCATATACCTCTGTGTAGATACTGAAAAAGCTGAAAAGGTCTCATACATAACTCATTTTCACAAAAACTGGACAACCAACCTTTGTCTTCTGAGGTACAGATATGTAAGTGAAAGGTTTATTACAATTTTACAGGGATGTCGCAAATTGTCACTTTCAGCTCAGACATCAAATGTTCTAATTGTTACATTAAAAGGAACTGCATCTTTAATCAAAGATTTACTTTCAGAAGGATATAATTTCTTTTTAACCATTTGATTTCAAACTGATCCTCTTGAAAAACATTTTGGGAAACTTAGGCAGATGAGTGGCGGAAGTTTTCTAGTTAGCTTGCGTGAAGTAGATTTCAGACGATTTAACTTCGATGACGATTAAACGGCTATTTAATCTTGACACAAAATCAAGTTGACCAAAAAGGCCGTTTAATTTTTTTGTTTAACTAAAAAGCCGTTTAATCTTGACACAAAGAACATTTAAATTTGTATTAAATTTTTCTTTGTGTCAAGATCTTCTTCAAACAAACAAAATGTTTTTACTTTATATGAATATATATATATAAGGGGAGGATTAACTGAACCTAGTGAAAACATGGTAGAATAAGTTTGCTCCTTATTTTGCATATTAGACATCACTAATGAATTGTTATTAACTAAATATTCCAAAAATTTGAAAAGTTCAGCTCTAGCTGCAATTGATATGTGTTCTGACCATTTAGAAACAGTATATTCACACAACTCTTATTAATATATTTTATAATTATGAGCAATCAATTCAAAAGAGAATAATTCGATAAGATGAAGTAGAAGCCTTTAAAAATTGACACAACAAAAAATAAAATTAATTTATTATTTTTATTTTTGCTATAGATGAGCTTTTGTTTGGATTCTGTATATTTGTTTTTATTTGCTTATCTACAGTTATAGATAAGCTATATAGCTTAATGAAGCTATATAGCTTCATTATCATCTTTTTCTAAAGCTATATTACGGTGAACTAAGTTTTGCTTTTGTATCTTTTTCCATAGCTGATTTTTTTTGCTTATATATTTTTCTCAAGTTATATATTTTTTGATATATATTTGCTTGCTTTAATATTCGGATAATATTAATTTGATAAATGATAATTAAATCATAAAAACTGACCTACTATTTTTCGGACTTGTAAGCAACAAGTCCGAAAAATAGTAGGTCAGTAAGTAAAAAAAATAGATCGTTAGATTTCTATTAATAGACCTACATAAATATGTATATATTAATATATTAAAAGGTTAAAAAGATTAATAATCAATATATATGTATATATATATATATATATATATATATATATATATATATATATATATATATATATATATATATATATATATATATATATATATATATATATACGAAGTATATATATACATATATATATACGAAGTAAATCCAACTTTTTTATCCTCTCTTCATAACTGTATCCTTTCAAAATTTTAGTTCTAGAAGCTCCTTGTTGAACACAATCAAGCTTATTTTTATCATACTGACAATAAGGGTTCCAGATAGGAGCTGCGTATTCCCAATGTGGACGTACTAAGGCTATAAACAAGAGTTTCATTGTTTTTTTATCTAAATATTTAAAAGTCTGTTTGATCTGACCTTGCTTTTGATTTGCTGTATTTACTGCTTTATTTACATGGTGTTTCCATTCCAAATCATCTGAAATGTACACTCCTAAATCCTTTTTCATGCTTGTGTAGGCTAAAGCTGTATTATTCATGAAAAATTGGTGCTGGCTATTTCCTATTATCATAACCTTACATTTTTGCTGGTTGAATTTCATCAACCACTTATTCGATTATTCCATTAATAAGTCTAAATCTTGTTGAAGTTCAACAATATCTTTATCGGTTTTTATTGCTTAAAGGATTTTCATGTCGTCAGCAAATAGTTTACAGCTTGATTTTATTTTGTTGGAGATATCATTAATATACACTACAAATAATAGTGGTCCTAGCACTGATCCTTGTGGTACTCCACTCACAACCTCTTCCCATTCTGATTTATTATTTTCTATCAACACTCTTTGAAGTCTGTTCTTTAAAAACCCCTGGTACCAATCGAATAGTTTTAATTTAAAACCAAGAGCATTCAATTTTAACAATAACCTTTCGTGATCAACTGAATCAAATGCTTTGGCTAAGTCCAGAAACAAAACTATTACATTCAAACCATTATCAATTGAACTTGTGATAAAATCTAGAGATTCCAATAAGTTCGTCACACAACTTTTATTATTAACAAATCCATGTTGGTTTTTATTGATTAATTTATTTTCTACTAAATATTTCATCATTTTTTCTTTAATTATTTTTTCCATGACTTTACAAACTACAAGTCTATAGTTGTATGGGCTCAACTTGTCACCATTTGTAAACAGTGGGACGAAATTTGCACACAACCATAATTTCGGAAGTTTACCCGTTTTAAATGATTTATTGAGCAATATAGATAGTGGTTAGGCTAAAGTAGGTTTGCACTCTTTTAGAACTTTTGGATGAACTCTGTTCTTCTCCAGTTGCTTTATTAGTGTCCAGTTTGTTTAAGTATTCTCCAACAACAGAGGCATTAAAATCTGATTTCTACAGAAATCAGATTTTAATGCCTCTGTTTTTGTGTTTCTATATCTACTATTGGAGCAGATATAGAATACTGATGCAAAATACCCATTCAATGTATTTGCAATTACTTTTAAATCTGTTTCGATGCTACCATTTTTTAGTTGGATTGCTCTTATATTGTCTTTGACTTTACTTTTATTGTTAATATTAAATTTTAAATTTAATATTTAAAACAAGATCATATTCAAAATCTTTAATTCTTTGATTTACTTTTATTTTAAATTCTTTGTATTTTGCAAGTAAACGATTGTCTCTGAATTTCTGCCTTCGACATTCGAACCAAAAGTTTTTTATTTTTTATTTTGACAGCGCTTTCAATTCTCTATTAATCCAGAGAGGTTTTGTGTTGGTTTGAATAGCTCCCGGTTTTATAATTGGAATAAAGAGTTTACATCCTTCTTCATAAAGGCTTAACCATTTTTAGTAACATTTGTTTATTTCTAAACCTTTGAATTCATCGTCATCGTTTAAGATTTTAAAATAATTATTTAATTCGTCAAATTTCCCTCGATTGAAACTAAATTTTTCGTTTATAAGTACAATGTTGTCAATACACTCTTCATGACTGTAGTTAAATTTAATAATGTGATGTGCTTAATACCTCCCAATGGTAAAAGGTGTACCAGTTTATAAACTCTATTTTTATTCTCAGTTATAATCAAATCCAGTACATTCGTTTCATTCCCAATGTTATTTTAAAACGTTGGCTTAATCACATTCTGATGCATGAAGCAATTGTTTAAACATTTTAAGAAAATTTTGGCTGGTGTATCAGTCTCACTAGTTAGTGTACCATAGTAATCTTCTGTCCACTTGATTGCGTTGAAGTTAAAATCCCCACAAATAAGGATTCCAGTATATTTATTTAATAAGTTCATCGAATGAGCAAAATTAATAGACTTTGTGAAATTGATGCAGTTACTTATGTTACTAATTCCAATTTTGTACATACTGCCATATAATATTTTTTCACTTCCTAATTCAAAAGCGCACCAAATCTGTTCTATATTAGGGTCATTTAAACATTTTTCTGAAACTTCAAACGCTATTATATTGTTTTGTACATATATACAAACTCCTCCACCTCTACCAATGCCTCTGTCTCTTCTAAAAAAGGTGTATCTATTGATATTAGTTACTGACTCATTATTCTACCAAGTTTTACAAATCATAACTAAATTAGCTTTATTAGAGTTAATCACTTCAATTAGTTTGTCAAACTTATTGTTTAATGAAGTTGCGTTCATGTATAAGCACTTTATTTCGCTGAGTTTTAATATTAAACTTAATGGTGCATTAATCTTTTTAGTGTTTTTTGATTTCAATTTTCTGCAGCATATCGTTTCTGATAACAAAGTGAAATGCCGAACTTTTATCTTTCTCTATTTTATTCAGCCTATTTCTTTCACCAAGTAGCAATTTAAGATTAGCGACACCAAGAGTCTTTTAAGATACCAAGTAGCAATTTTGAGTTTAAGACACCAAGAAGCAAGTTAAGACTAGCAATTTAAGACTACTAATATGAGCACTTTTATTAAAAACACAGAGGTTTTAAATAAGTAGTAAAAGTGAAAAAAAGTAAAAAAAGAAAAATTTCAAGTGTCCAAGTATCTAAGTGGATCATGAATAGCGATCCCTAAAAATTGTTTATTTCCGATATTTTTAGATCCAGCATAATTATTTTTTAAAATATTCAAATTTTCGTCTAAGGTGCTCATAAAATTCAAATCTACCCTACTTTAGCCTAATTTATTTTTAACTTTGCTCTACACTTGTTAAAAGCTGAAATAAGGTTTCTATGAAAAGATTGTGGTAAATCCGGTAAATCCATACCTTTAGTCCCAGTCTAATTATATAAATAGTTTTTTTATTTTATGAAAATGTTTTCAATTGTATGAGATCAAAACATATGTTTAAAATAATGATAATAATAACAATAATAATAATGATAATAGTTTCTTGCTGACTGACCTCTCCAACCGCCATGGCACCGCAGCGGCTGCCTAGGTTGGACATGGGTAAAAACGGGGCTGCTCACCCTTTTTTTCAAAAAAAAAAATTGTTTCATTAAATATTCTACTGCTTTCAACCAAACCACAACTTTTTTTTTTAAATAGATGCCATAAAATGGTTTTAAAACTGATTTTTTTATTTCAATCAATATAACAATAAATAATTTAGTTTTATCAAGATTCCAGTATTTACTTTTGTGTACGTGGTTTTAGTTTTTAAGTAGTCATGTCGCGAGTCAAATAATTATGTTTTGATATTATCACAAGTGAAATTCGAGCCTTAAAATAAAAATTGTTTGTTTTAAGATTTGTTGATAAAATTTTTTGAATTGAAATTTTTAAAATTCAAAAAAATGTCTTCAAGAATTGTACTTTTGTTTTTGTTGCAATTAATTTCACTTTCTTACCCACATCTTTTGGAAAATACTTGCGAAATTGAAGAAAGACTCCGATTTGATTGTTACCCTGAACCAGATGCAACACCAGAATTATGTAATAACAGAGGATGCTGCTGGCAACCTGCTTTAAATGATTTAAACACGCCATATTGTTTTTATGGGGCCAATAGTGTAGGATATACGGTTTGTGGAAAGAACGACACAGATACTGGTTTCGTTTTAGATCTTTGTCTAAAAAAAAGTGGTCCATACGGCAGTAATATTGCAAGTTTAAAAGCAGAATTTCAGTTTGAAACAGATGACCGCTTGCATGTGAAAGTAAGTTTGTACTATCGCTAAAGTTATTATTTACAGTTATATAAATTTTAAAACATTTATAAATATGAATTGAATTTAAATAATTAATAAAAATAGTTTTTGATGCTTGTCATTCTGAATTTGTATATCTTATGCATTGCATATAAACTCAACATAAACAAAGTTTTAAAATGTTTAAAGCCAAGTTGGAATTGTCTTCTTAAATATTAAACGATATTTTATATTTTAAAGTTAACTTCCCACTTAATTAAATACAACGGACCTTATTTGTGGTAAAAGTTTCTAGTTATTGCTAAAAAAAAAAAAAAAAAAAGAACGAAACTGCTCTAGAGCTGTTTGAAATGAATTAAAATGAATCAAAACGATTGTTAATATATTTCAAACGGTTATTAATATATTTCAACATCCGATTTTGAATGTTTCTCATATGGTAAACTCAATTGAGTAAAACTAGATTTAATTAAAACGATAATTTCATTAGATTTAATTTAAACGATAAAATAGATCTCTGAAAAAAGTAAACTCAATTGAATAAAATTAGATTTAAATAAAACGATAATTCTCAATAAAGTTTTTCATAATGACTATGTAATTTCTTAGTATTTTTTATTTATTTTACATTTCAGCCATGTTACCATTAGTTACTATAAGAGCGTTTTTTTGTTTTTGTATATTTTTTTATAATGATTAAATGTTGCTTCAGCCATTAGTGGAGCAACATTAAGTGATTTATCAATATATTTTAATCATATCGTGGCCGTGGCGCAGTGGTTAGAGCGCCTGCTTTATAAGCAGGAGATCCAGGCTCAAAACGAGCTTAGGACATATTTTCGCGTCACGGTAAGGAAAAAGGCGTGAACTTCCTGGTTAAATGCACTTCCGCAGTACTATGTGACAAGACCGATAAGTCTTCTTGGAGCAACTAAAAAGCAAAAAAAAACAAAAAAATTCCTAAACATCTGATCAAAAATTTCAATAAAATACGTTTTTTACTTTAGGTATATATAAAAGATTTTTTATATATACCTAAAGTATATATAAAAAGTTTTTTACTTTATGTACATAAAAAAACATAAAAAAAAAATTACATTAAAATTCAAGATTTTTTAAAACTCGTGCAATATAATTGGGTCTTTAAATTGATATTGACAAATAATCGCATATTTATAATTTATAAATAATATCTCTACATGTCAATTGTAGATACCAATGAATCTTTATATAGTGTAATAATTATTCCAATACTTTTAAAAACATGAAAAATAGCATTTCCTTAGGAAAAAGTCCGAACACCCTCGAACAACTTTTTGTAGCTTTACGCATAATTGAAAAGATAAATTTTGAAATTATGAAGTATTCTTACATATTTAAAAAAAATTTATTTCTTAAATATTTAATTAATTTTGATTTTACAAACTGAATAGTTTCAAAGAAGTAGTAATTTATCGCTTATTTTATTTATTCTATTACCAATTTACCGGAAGAAAAAAAAGAAGTAATTCAATACTTTGTTAGACTAAAGTCTTTTCATAAGACCTGTTTCTAACCGTCTGCTAATTCACTACTGAAGAAACTGTTTTGTAGGTAGTGTAGAATCCAGAAGGAGATCATCAAAAGTGTTATAAATATTTATAATATTACTCAATATACATTTTTAGTACTCAATATACATTTTAAAGCTCAACATTACATTTATGGGTAAAAGCTCTAAAACATTTTTTAACCCGTTTTTTTTTATGTTAATCAAGATGGAAAAGTTTATTTCCCCGGTCAATTAAAAAAGATTTGACTTGGTTTAAATACCCCTGCTATTAACAGAAATAAACATTTTATTTTAAAGATGTTGAACATCTTTTATAATATAATTTTTTAAACTCTAAATTAGAGCATTAAATTAGAGTATTTCCTTTAAAATATCAATTCTTAATCAGCATAATGTACTCTATAATAAACGTTTATAAAATGGGGGAGAAAAAGTTGGCTAGCACAGGAAATTACAGCAATCGCAGCGTTGTATTAGCATCCCAAAACTAAATTAGTTTAGTGTCGTGTAAATCTGACGTAGTTGTAAATCTTGACGTAGTTGTCACATTTAAAAGCTTTTCTAAACATAGACTTTACCGGGAAATCGCTGACTTTTTCTCGGAAAAACGGCGCGGATGTATATCTATGTAGTAGTACTATATTATAGTACCTACTCAAATTATTAGAATTAAACTTAATTTTTAAATTTTCGTGCAGGTTCTTTGTTAAAATACGTGGTTTCATCGGTTTTAATCCATCAGATTATAACCGATGGAACCAGGAACAGTCTATATTAGCAGTCCATTGGATGCTAATACAGACTGTTCTCAATCCATTGTAAAATTTTGAAGGTGAAGCACGCGATGAAGGCTCAAGAGAAGTGAATATTAACTTTAATTACAATACTGATCCTGCTTCATGAAAAATTTCTCCAGATCAAATACAATATTTTAACAAAAAATTTCCTTCTCAAAATAAATCGATTACGATATGTTAGAAAAATACTTTACCAGAAGATTGGAAAATGCCGAAGTAGTTCAGAGGGATTGGCTAATATATTCTCCATTAACTGGAAAAATTTATTGTTATATTTGCAAACTGTTTTTTACCTATGAATTTGTGAATACCTTTCAATCAGAGTTTGATGACTAGAAAAATGTGACTTTAAGAATATATTCTTGACTTCAAGAATATATCTTGACTTCAAGAATATATTCTTGACCCCTGACATTTCATGGGTTGATATTAATATCAACCCATGAAATGTCAGGGGAATATTTTAGTACTTTCTTAGTGGATTCAGTATCATGAGTGTTATATAATTAATGTAAAAACACACAAAAAAAAGAGGAAAAATTGTACACATACTAGATTGAAGTATTGAAACGAGTGGTTGCTGTAATTAAGTTTCTTGCTGAGCAAGGTTTAGCTTTTCGTGGTAACACTCAAGTTCACAATTGTGTTTTTAACGAAATTTTTTTTCGTTGTATCAGTCTTTTAGCTGAATTTGATCCATTTCTAAAAGAACATATTTGAAAATATGGAAACCCAGGAAAGGATATGTGTTGTATCTGTCTTCTAGTATATGTGAAGAGTTTATTGATATATTGTGATCCAAAGTTACTAATCATATCATATCTGAAATCAAAGCTACTAAATTTTGTGGGCTTATTATTAATTTAACACCTGATATTACTCATATTGAGCAGTTAACAATCGTTATGTAGATGCATATGGTTAAGTGATTTATTAAATTTGTTCCTATCGAACTGCGTGATGGCAAATATTTGTTTGATGTTGTACATATTTTTTTTGAGAGTCATGAAATTGATATAGAAAACTTTTGGTCTCAATCTTATGACAATGCCACTAACATGATTGAACTATATTTTAGAGTGCAAACTAGGTTCAAAGAAGTCAATATCCAAGCTGAATAGGTTCCTTGTGCAACCCATTGTCTCAGTTTAGTTGGATTAGCAGCTGTAGAGTTTTATCTATTCGCAGTGAATTTTTTTGAAATTGTGCAAGCAGTTTAAGTCTTTTTCCCTGTTACCACAAAAGTGGACTGAATTGTTTGAAAACATGAAATGGAGTATTAAAGTTTTAAAGCGTTTATCTGGTACATGACAGTCTCCATAAAATGCTCTATTTATGCTTATTAATGCTCTATTAGTCAACTACTCTGAAATTTTTAAAGCATTGTTAGAGTGAAATTGAACGTACACCACCTACTACTTATCATGAAACATGATGCTTAAATAAAAATTTAAAACTTTTAAAAACTACTTTGATGTGTGTAATTTGGAAGAGTTTGCTGCTAATATTGACAATAAAGCATAGCAGGACCCTTGAATCAAATTATGTGTCATTTTAAAATTATATAATAGCTTAATAGCACATTTTTAAGGAACATGAAAGGATGTTGATGAATTTAAAACTGTGGCAAGGAAACTAACAGCTTCTGAATACAAAGCATGTACACAACGTAAAAGAAAGCGAACTCATTTTTTAAATGAGGTTTTAGATAGCACAGACTCAAGCTTAAATTTTTCTACTAATGATAATAATTCCGTACTAAATTTTTTAATTCAATAAATGAGATGATTTTAGTAGAAATAACAATGTGATGACAAGCATATGAATTTTTCTATGAAACAATTTTTTACTGGACAGATCTTATTACATTTATTTTTTTACTGGACAGATTTAAAGAAGTAATTTGAAAAGATTCTGGTTAGAATATATTTTTCCAATCTTGAAAATGGGTTTATTAAAGAGTTTTTATTGTTTGCTAACATGTATAATGACAATAAGCAGTTACACAGATAATTCATGCACAAATTAGTAACAATCTTGTAACAGGTTTCCCAAAAATGAATATAGCATTCCAATTTTATCTATCTGTTGTTGGTACAAATGTAAATAGGAAAAGAAGTTTTTCCCATCTGCATTTGCACCATCAACTTCATCACTTTTTCTGAGAATGATATTCCACGTAAAATCTAAGTTTGCGACATTATTTCACAATTTGCATGCACAAAATTAAGTAAAATGTATATGTAATCATTTATATAATATTTTTAATCCTGGTATACGGACTGTACATGGCGATAATCCTGTACATAAAAACTCTGAAACTAAAATTTCGTGCTGTGTTAATTTTTTTCCCATAAAACCTTTGAAGGCCTAGGCAGCCTTTAGATAAAGTGGCCTTGAACTTAATACTCAGTGGTGAGTCCTTTAGATTTCAAAACAGCTTTGACATGCCTTGGCTATTTATTCCCTTTGAGATTGCTGGATCTCGATGCCATTTTTAAATCAGTCATTCTGTGAGCTTACGTTTACTCTTTATTATGTCAGTGCTGACTTTGCATTTTACAAGCATGGTTTTTTAATAGGGTTCATATCTGAAGAATCTCCAGGCCAATCAAGAATCTGGATATTTTCATTAACGAAAAATGTCTTTATGAATTTTGCAGTATGGCATGGAGCACCATCTTGTATAAAAATTGTTTTTTCACCTTTAGGAAACAACTCTCGTGTATGTAGAATCAGCTCAGTCTGCAGGACAGTCTTGTACTAATCTTATTTCATTGTCCCTTGTACAATTCAAATTTAATATGCATGACCAAACCATTATGGATGATGGTTGCTTTACAGTATTTACAATGCATTCTGGTTTGGGTTGTTCTTCTGGTCTGCTGCACATAAATGTTATTTTGTCTCAAAGATAGATTTAATGCTGAGTACAAGCATAATAAAGCAATCAATAGTTTAACAATATTTTAAATAATAATAAAATAAATCAGGGTAAGATATTAATGTAAAAATGTCTTTTGAAAACTTGTGATATTAAAATAAAATATTTAAGTGTATAGAGTGAACAAATAAAAAGTTTAACTTTCATTCCAGTCATCTTGAGAAAAAAGAAGAGTAGTTCTTAAATGAGTGACATAAAGTTAAATTACACATAACGCAAAGTAAACAGCAAAATCCATATAAACTCACAAAATCTGGAGATTTATTTTTTGAGTCTAATACTTTTAGCAGGTACTGTAGTTAAAACTGTGAAAGTTAAAAGGAATATTACTGTTCACTTTTCATTACATTTAAAAATCTTTTACAATTAGTTAACATTAACAAGCGTATTTATCAGTTTAACTGTTTTGAAAATAATAATTTTTAGGAATTTGTGTTGTAGAAATTTGTATTATAGGAAATTTTTTTTGTAATATTTATTCCTATTATTTACTATTATTTTTATTTTTTTTATTATTATTTTTAATTTATTATAATTATTATTCCTTCTATTATTAAGTTTTGAAAAATTTGCATCATTTTAATACATGTTATAGTTTTTTGTATTTAATTTCTTGTTTTAACTAGATTTATGATCCAACTGAGAGGCGATATGAAGTACCAATACCTGTACCTGATGTAACTTCAAAAGCACTTTCCCCAAATTATTTAGTGACTTACACAAATGAATTATTTGGTTTTAAAGTTACAAGGTTATCAAACAATGAAACAATGTATGCAATTATTTTTTTTAACATTAAACATTGTAAGTAGTTTTAAACTTTTATTTAATTTTATGCCAAGTTAATTATTTAAAGAAATTTTTTTTTTTTTTTTTTTTTTTTTAACATCTTCACTTCCAACAAGGCTGCAAGCAACCACTATAAAAGTTGGAAGTTACTGGAAGAGAAAAGACTAAAACTGTAGAGCAAGATAACGATTGACTGATGACTTAAAAGATTGCAAATTATATGAATCAGGAAAGCAAGATGAAGGAAGCGAATTCCAAAGAACTGATGTTCGAGGAAAAAAACTAGAAGAATAAGAGTTTTTGAAGCACTTAGGAACAGTCACAGAAAAAGGATGAGACTTAATTGAATGGCGAGTAACACGAGAATGAATTTTAGTAGATGGCACAAGGGACGCTAGCTCTTTAGAGCAGTGCCCATTATAGTATTTGTAGAAAAGAGAAAGAGAAGCAACATTACGACGATGTGACAAAGGTTGGAGATTAGCTGCCAGAGCAGGTCCAACTATGTTTACAATTCGTTTTTGCACCTTGTCTAAAAGAGAAAGAGCATCATTAGAAGATCCGCCCCAGATGTGGCAACAGTATTCCATACAGGGACGGATTTGAGATTTATAGAGATAGAGAATAGAATCCGGAGTAAGAAAGTGTCGAGCTCGATAAAGAGATGCAACCTTAGCAGATGCTAATTTTGCAATGGATTTGATATACGGTTTAAAAGAAAGATCAGAAGTAAGAGTTAATCCTAGAAGATGAATGGTAGATGACTCATCTAGTACATTACCATTCATAAATATAGGAAGATCTAAATTATTACGATAACGATTGGCCGAATAAAATTGAGTTTTATCTGAATTAAAGTTCACCAGCCACTGTGAGCCCCATGCTGTAGCAGAAGTGAGATCCTTTTCAAGCTCAGATACCCCCTCCAAGCAATCAGAGAGTGTAGGCTTCTTATCATGACAAGAGTAAATGGTAGTGTCGTCAGCGAATAATGCCACCTTAGATGTGAGAATATCTGGAAGATCGTTAATGTAAATTAAAAAGAGTATAGGGCCAAGGATTGAACCTTGAGGAACCCCTGAAGTTACAGGATGTGAAGAAGAGTGTTGTCCATCAAGGACAACTTTTATACTACGATTGGAAAGAAAGGACTCAATAATCTTAAAGACGTTACCAGATACACCATAAGAAGAAAGCTTATGGAGAAGACCAGCATGCCAAACTTTATCAAAAGCTTTAGAAATGTCAAGTGCGATAGCCTTAACCTCTCCACCTCTATCTAATGCACGGTAAAACCTATCGGTTATTAGTGTTAGCACATCAGCTGTAGAACGAGAAGACCGAAATCCATATTGATGATCAGAAAGTAAGTTATTTGATTCAAGATGAGAGATTAAGTGTTTGTTGATTAAAGATTCAAAAACTTTGCTTATGACAGGAAGAAGACTAATCGGGCGGTAGTTAGATGAATCAGATCGCTCTCCGGAATTTTTGAAAATAGGGATAACAGATGCTGCTTTCCAGCATGATGGAAAACAAGACTCTGATAAGCACTTGTTAAATAGTTTAGAAAGTATGGATGAAAGCTCCGGAGAACACCTCTGCAAGACTACAACAGGAATGTTGTCAGGACCACAAGCTGTTGAAGAGTCTAAGCAGGAAATTACTTTAGATACAGAAGCTGAAGTGATGCGAATGTCAAGCAAGGGATCAACCTGTTTGACAGCTATGTCAGGTAGAACGCAACTAGTGGAATCAAGAGATGATATTGATGAAAAGTTCTTTGCAAACAATTCAGCTTTGTCTTTAGGTGAGGTGACAAAGTCTGAACAATACAAGAGAGAAGGAATAACAGATTTGCCCTTATTATTGATACTGTTAAAGATTCTCCAGAAGTCTCGAGAGCCTAATTTTTGTGATGAGATACGAGATTTAATGACCTGGGAATAGCGAGCTTTGGCGTCAGACAAAACCTTTTTACAATGGTTTCTAGCGATAGTGAACAGATGTCTGTTTTCTGGAGAATTGTTTTGCTGATAGATATGGAAGTAACGGTTTCGATTAGAAATTGCTGCAGCACAATGTGAGGAAAACCAAGGAGAAGAGTGAGGCTTGACCTGGAATCGTCGAGAGGGAATAAAAGATTCCATTCCAGCCTGAATCCACGAAGTTATGTAAGAAGCACATTTGTCAGCAGGAAGACGAAAGATTTCTACCCAAGGGCCATCACGAAGAAAATCACGGAAAGAGTCCCAGTCAGCTTTAAGGTAGTTGTATGTGGTACGATGATAGGGGGATTCTGATGAAGTAGAAGAATTTGATAATAGTTTTAGAGAGATCAAACCGTGATCAGAAGTACCTAAGGGTGAATGTGGAGAAATTGAGCACTGACTAGGATCCAAAACAAGACATAAGTCGAGTAGAGAAGGTAAATGATTAGAGTTGTCTGGAAAACGAGTTGGAAAGTTGACTATTTGAGTTAGAGATTGAGAAAGGCAAAAGTTGAGGGCCTTAACGCCAGCAGAGTCACTGACACTAGAGCCAAGCCAATCGGTGTGATGGGCATTAAAGTCACCAATAACGACGATATTGGCCGATGGATAAAGAGAGAGGGCTTGGTCAATTTGATCAGAAATAACATCAAGAATAGTGCAATCTTGGGATGAAGGAGAGCGATATAGAACAAAGAGAAAGGCCATAGAGTGAAGTTGTGCTAAACGAAAGCACATAAATGAATAGTCTGGAGATTCAAACCTAGTTTCACGACAAATGGGTGAGTTCTTACGAATGTAGATGCCCAGGCCAAGCATGTGATTATTGGAGTCTTTACGAATTAAAGGAAGATAACCATCAACACTAAGATCACAAGATGGGACAGCCGAACTCAAATTAGTCTCACAAAGAGCAAGTAGGTCTGGTGAACTTTGCAAGAGATAAGACTCAACAGAAGAAAAGTTACTTCGAAGACCACGAATATTAGTAAATGATAGGTTTAGAGAACTTGGTGATGACGATGGTTTTTTGTGTTTATTAGTTTTAGGTACTTTAGTCATTTTAAATTTATAAAGAACTTGACTCAAGTATAGATAGTACTCAGTACACTATTTAACAACTAAGCAATAGCCTCATTACTATTAATAAACCCTAAGCCGTAGCAAAGGGCTCCAAATGTGGCCTCTGCAATGCACACCAAAAGTACAAACAGGGACACCATCCATGCGCAACATGGCACTGTTAGTACTCTGATATTTTTCGGCTGTTGATGGAATCAGCCTCTCTGAGAGCTACCACAGAGTTCGGGAAACCTGACTACCAGCCGGCCTCAGAACCATAAAACTGAGTTTTAGAGCTGTACCCTCATTAGGAGATAATAGAATGAGTTGCCCAGTCATAAAAATAGAGACACAAGCAATACCCACGCATTGAGTCAAGAAGATCCAGCGTTCAACATCCTAAACTGGAAACAATGTATTAAAAATACATCTGCGCCAGCCTAATAGATGAGGAAGAGGTGCGAGGCTGGTCAACAGATAGAATCTGTTTACCCCTTAAGTCTTTGCCTAGGAGGCCTTCTACAAGACAGCAGCTGGATGCATGTAACATCTGCCCAAGATGAGTATTTTTATCGAGACACCATCTCTAGCCTTTACTTTGTTTTACCATCTCTACCATCTCTAGTCTTACCATCATCCTTTACCATCTCTAGACTTTTTTTTGTTACTTTTACAAATGTAAAAGTAACAAAAAAAATAACCTTAACCCCACCATAACCCAGACCCAATATGTGTATGTTTTGCTATAAAATATTATTTGTTATGTTTTATTTGTTGGTGCATGTACTTTTCTTTTTGTATAAAATGTTGTTTACAATTGAAAAAACAGTTACTTGTAGAGACTTTTTTTTATCAGTGTAAACATCTGTTTTAGTCTGCTGGATTAACTAAAAAAATTTACCCTAACATAGAATAAAATACTAAAAAGCTAAAACTTTGCACTTGCTAACTTTAACATAAAATGCTTAACCAAATAAAAGCTCCATCAATTGAAGCATCAAAAGGTGTACTCTCAGGCCTAATTAGAAAGGGGTAATAATTTTTTTGATCAAACTTTTTTTTCAAAAATATATTTTTCATATATAGTTGAAAAGGTAGTTTAATGCTGATTCATATTCTTATAAAAGCTTTGGGTTGAAAATAAAAATTTAAGATATGCTTATTTTTATTTTTTTTAGTTTTAATTCACCCCCCAAAGCCATAAATGCTACTACATTTGAGGAGGCTACTTTAGTTGTGGTTACAACCCTCTCTCAACTCTATAACTCAAAAACTTGAATCTTAACAAACAATGCCGCTGTGCGTAGAAACATGTTAAGCGCTGTACTACCAGGGTCATTGTTTGGATCGAACTTGGAACTTCTTGCTTATGAGGCAAGCACTCTACCACTCTGAGAGTACCACTCTACCACTCTATCACTCTACCACTACACCTCTTCTGCATAATATTATTACTTTAACACAATATTCTAAAGATTCAATGAATTTTACAGTACCCATGGACATTAAAAGACATTCAATATTATATGCTAGTTAATTATGCATGTTCTAAAGATTTATAATTATAGTTAATTATGCATGTTCTTTTATATTTTTATTAAATGTTTTAGTGAACAATATCAAGTAGTAGTTAAAAATTAAAAAAATTGTTTTAGCATTTTATGTTTATTTAAGTTGTAAAAAGTGTTTTATTTATTTATTTTACTTATTTTGAACTTGACTTACACCTAATAAAAACTTTATCTTTAGTATTGAGTTAAGTTTAAATCTTTTAATATAATAGTTATAATTTAGTTTAAGTTTGCATGGTCATTGTGGGTATAACTTCCTTCTGATAACAATTACTCTAAAGTCATGAATTCAAGTCAACAATTACTCCAAAAGTCGGTATTCTGTATTTTTTAGATTTTTAGATATATTCATTTAAAAAAAAAAGTGTAAGGTAAGTAGAGTTCTAGTTCATTAAAGCTGCAGTTTGTAGATCATAAAACTCTGCACACAAAAAAACAACCTAAATTGTTACGATCTTTGGTATCATCTATTCTTGGGAACTCTTTTGAGTGGAGAAAAGTTTGTTTTTGCAAAAAAATAATGGCAATAAAAGAAGCCTTGTTATTAAAGTAACAACTTCACCAATCTGTAAAAAACTTTTTTAATGTTTTTTAGAAAGAAATAATATGAGGAGAAAAATAGTGATTGGAAAGTTTCATCAATCTTGTCATGGTAGGTAAAGTCTACCATAACATATGTATGGCAAAGTTTAAACAGCATGTGCCATCTGAAAATATAAAAAGAAGACTCCTTGATCTATCTATGTAAGAAACATTTTAAAAAGTTTGTAGTTGGTTAAAAGAGGACATGGATAGTGAGTTGTGCACATTGAAGAAGCTTCATAAGAAGATGTACCATCTTAATGGAAATGATGAAAACATATATTCAATCAATTGGCTTTAAAAGAATTTAAAAGATAATTATGGTAAACACATATTATTTGCTGAGTTAAAAGGTTGAGCAGATTTGGTTTGTTTTAAAGATATAGCATCTTATTAATAAAATGAAGAAGACAATTAAACGGTTGATTATATAGTTAGAGCAGCAGCAAAGGTTATTAAATTAGATGTAAGGGAAATGCCTCTAAATAAAGATGACTGCTTTACTACAGATGATATGGTTGCAAAGATGATCTGAACACTAATATAATATAATATAATATAAATGGGTAAATATATAATATATAATATAAATGGGTTATATAAATATATAATAATAATATAAATGGGTTCCAAGTAGCTTAATGACATTTCTTCAATTGCTAATAATTGAGAATCCAAATATTGAAAGATGATTATCTTTCAAAATTTAGATTTTATATCACACCAGATGAAATCCTTCACTTCAAACAATCTGACATTATAGAAAATGACACACTAATCTACAAGAAAGGCTGCCATCTGTTGTTAAGTGGGTTGCTGTTAATGTAGACCACAATATTGCCACACTTTCTGGAGAAGGCACACTTCACGGGATGGATATTATATCAGTTAGCTCATTATCTTGATGTCAAAAAAGTCTTATAAAAGGTTTAAAAAAGAAAATATCAGATTTAATTATAGATTGTGGTGTTAAGATATTAGTATATCTAGAATCTGTTAACTTTTTGATGATTAAATTTAAATCTTACATGAGAAATTATAACTTCTATTACACTGAGTACCAACTGCCAAACTGGTCTGGTTTTGTGAAACTAGTAACTGATACAAAGACTTTTTCACAAAAATCTTTAGTTTCATTCCTTACAATAACTAATCTCAATCATTCTGATTAAACATGCTTTTACTCCACCCTTCCTTTTGTTACGGATCAGGCTAAAAAAATAAAACATAGCAATACCTTGCGTAACGCTTGACTAACCGTTATAGATAAAAGCAACAGCAATCATTAGAGGGGAAAATTTAAATATAGTATGCATATTTAGCAGATTTTATACCATAATGCGTTACATTGGAAGCATCGGTAAACTTATGGGAGGATCTGGTTTGAACAAGTTATTTAATGAGATATACACAGAAAATAGTCTAACAGTAAGTGTCAGAACTTTTTTGGTTCTTAGTTTAAACTCTAATCCAGCTATACCCAAAGCCATGACAACTCTAGAAGAATGTGAAATAGAAACAAGCCAAAAACATAGAAATGCAGTCAGCAAGACGTGCACAGGACTTTTTAGACTGTAAAAACGACAAATAATCTCAAAACCTCCTAATTGTTATATGATGCAATTGTAAAATATCTTTAAAAAAATATTGTGATTCAAATACTTGAAGTTGTCAAAAACATGGTCTTAAGTGCATTTCCAATTGTGGTAGTGCAACACACTTGTGGTGGTTGTCAAGGAAATTTGAAAACTTGATCACAACAAAGAGGTGATTTGACTAAAACATTTGGCGTGGTGTAGTTTTTTTACCATTTTTTCACATAGAACATTCCACAATGGTAAATTAAGCCAGAAAAATATTTTTCTATATGCAATTATATCATATTATTTTATAGGAAAGAAAAACTTTAAAAATGCAGGATGATATTATCAATAACTTTAAATATTTTGATAAAGCAGATGACATTAAAAACATGTTTTAAGATATATTTAATTAGTTTTTTCACTAAAAAGTCATATTGTTTCAATTACCTTGTATTTTAGATTGTATATAATAACATGTTTTAGTTATCAAAATTATATACTAAATAAAAAACAATAAATACTGAAGAATCTTGTTACTTACTGTGTTTTTAGTAATTTGTTTCACAGACGTAGTTAATCATATTTTCTAAACAAACTGCTTTTGTTTAGAAAATATGATTAACTATGTCTTTTTTGGCAACATGACAACTTTATATGAATTAACTTTATACCATTAACATGAAATTTTGTGACATTTAAAACGTTATTAGGCAGGTTCTAAATAATACTTCAAGTAAAAACAGCTTAATCACTGATCCATGAAGTATTTTGGTTATTATCTAAATTGATTTTATGTTCCCTATTTTTTTGCTTATTATTGGAGAGAAAAGTATTCACTTTATCAAATATTTTTTATGAGAAATTTTGTCAATTTTTTTGCAAAACTAAATTATTATTGACTTTAAATTTAAATAGTTTTTAAACAAAATCATAAATTGAATTTACTGACATAATTATGAAAATTTATTGACATAATTATGAAAAAAATCATAATTTATTTATTGACTTTAAATTTAAATAGTTTTAAAAAAAAAATCATTAATTTCTAGCAGATTAGATGTACAACCTTTTGATGGAACCAAGTTTATTAGTTTGTTGATATTCCAGTATATCACTACCATTAAAAAAAAAGTAATCTGAAATGATAAATATTGAAAAAGTTTAAATATATGAATGCAAATATTTTTCGAGAATAAATTCAAAGTTCAGAAAAAAAATATCTTGAATTTTAAAAAACTTCTTTTTACCACTTAGTTTTGATTCAAGTGTGGGTGGATTTATATTCTCTGATCAGTTTCTTCAAATTTCTTCGCTTCTTCCTTCTGAAAATATCTATGGTTTGGGAGAACATGTGCTAGGATTAAAGTTGAAAACCAACTGGAATATGCTAACTTTGTTTTCAAGAGACATTGATACTCCTGAGGTATATAGTTTCATTTTTATCTTCTTGTTAACAATAGATATTTCTTTAATAGATATATATATATTTTAAATATTCTTTTTTTATTTAATCTCTTTAATGCAACTACAGATACTGCAGAATGTTATAGCAACTGCTTAAACAAATATCTGCATGAATGTTCTAACACTTGGATGAAAGTTATAAAATCTGTTTGTCACAACTGCATTAACCAGGAAGCAATTGGATTGATTTAATTTTGCTTTTGATTAGAATAAAGTTAAAAAAATTGCCTTCTTATTAATATAAGAATCAATAATTAGAATGTTTCTTTATAAAAATCTAAGTTTATATATAATGATAAAGTTTATATATAAAGTTAGATTTTGTATATAAAGATAAAGTTTATATATAATGACAAAGTTTATATATATATATATATATATATATATATATATATATATATATATATATATATATATATATATATATATATATATATATATATATATATATATATATATATATATATATAAATCTAAGTTTATATATAATGATAAAGTTTATATATATTGATAAAGTTTATATATAAAGAAAGTTTATATATAACGATAAAGTTTATATATATATATATATATATATATATATATATATATATATATATATATATATATATCATATATAGTATAAAGTATAGTATATATCATATATAGTATAAAGTATAGTATATATCATATATAGTATAAAGTTTATATATATATATATATATATATATATATATATATATATATATATATGTAAATATCATATATAGTATAAAGTATAGTATATATCATATATAGTATAAAGTATAGTATATATCATATATAGTATAAAGTTTATATATATATATATATATATATATATATATATATATATATATATATATATATTATATATATATATATATATATATACATATATATATATATATATATATATATACATATATATATATATATATATATATATATATATATATATATATATATATATATATATATATAATATATATATATATATATATATATATATGTATATATCATATATAGTATAAAGTATAGTATATATCATATATAGTATAAAGTTTATATATATATATATATACAGCTGTGAGCATGAAAATAGCAGTACCAAAAAATTATTTGTTTTTTCAATATTACTCTCCTTCTGTTAATACAGAAGGGCTAATTTTTTATGTGTGTATGTACTAGAATGAGATAAATAAATTGAGCAAATGAGAATTCATTACATTGTAGAATATCTTTATTTTTAATAAAAATATTGTAATTGACAAAATGCATTAAAATAGCAGTGGTTGTATTAATTTTAAAGTTAGTTAACAAAACTTGAAGAGATTTTAGTATTTTTCGTTGAAAAAGTAAGTACTACTTCAATTATAACATATTCTTTTCTTATTTGAGTATGCGTAATGGTAAAATTGTTTTCTAAACCTTTCAAAGTGGGCCGAGGACATCATTGTACACCAGCAGAACGCAACATTATTTTGAAACACTATAGAGAGGGTAAATCTTACTCATATATACAAAATATTCTCGGATGTTCAGCAAAGATGATTTCAAATGCCATAAATTATATAGCAAAAGTTGAAAAACGAGGGGGGAAACGTAAGACTACCGCGCAAGAAGACCGAAGAATTGTTAGATTTGTTAAAAGCAAACCATTTTCATCGGCCAAGCAAGTCAAAGATGATCTTGACCTACAGGTGAGTGAAACAACAGTTCGTAGACGCTTACGAGAGAAAAGTTTGTATGCACACAGTCCACGAAAGGTCCCTTTGTTGACAAAAAAACATACCGCTAAACGTTTGCAATTCGCAAACCAACATCTGAATTGGCCCATCGAAAAGTGGCGCAACGTATTATGGACTGATGAATCAAAAATAGTTCTTTATGGAGGTACAGGTTCAAGACAATATGTAAGACGTCCATCTAATACAGAATTCCAGCAAAAATATACCATTAAGTCTGTAAAACATGGTGGAGCCAAAGTCATGGTATGGGGCTGTTTCTCATATAATGGTGTCGGACCTATTTATAAGATTAATGGTATTATGGACCAACATATATATGTCGATATCCTCAATAATGTCATGCTGCCTTATGCTAATGAAGATATGCCGTTAAAATGGGTCTTTCAACAAGACAACGACCCAAAACACACTAGTCACAAGGCAAAAGAGTGGTTTCAGGTCAATGGGGTTGAGGTTATGGAGTGGCCTGCTCAGTCACCTGACCTAAACCCCATTGAAAACTTATGGGGAGACGTTAAAAAAGCAGTTTCTACTGCTAATCCAACTAATGCTCAGCAGTTATGGGAAGCTACTCAACAAAGATGGTACGCAATACCAGCAGAAAAATGTCAATGCCTAGTTGACTAAATGCATCGGCGTTGTGAAGCCGTTATCTCAAACAAAGGTTTTGCAACGAAATACTAAGGGTAAATATTGTTATATTAGACTTATTTTTAACTTTATAATGTTCAAAAGTTTGCAATTTTAATGTTTAATACCATAAAAAATAATTTTTTCTCTATTTTCAGATACCACTGCTATTTCAATGACTGCGAGCTTTCTTGATATTATTGTTTTTTTTTCTGAAATAAAATGTAAAACTATTATTGATGTAATTTTTTTTGTTTTATTAGATTGAAGTGTCAAAATAAATGCAATAAATTTTTTTCAGTAATAAGTAAAAAAAAATTGCGCAATAGTTTTCAAAATATTCCAGGTACTGCTATTTTCATGCTCACAACTGTATATATATATGTATATATCATATATAGTATAAAGTTTATATATATATAATATAAAGTTTATATATATATATATATATATATATATATATATATGTATATATATATATATATATATATATATATATATGTATGTATATATCATATATAGTATAAAGTATAGTATATATCATATATAGTATAAAGTATAGTATATATCATATATAGTATAAAGTTTATATATATATATATATATATATATATATATATATATATATATATATATATATATATATATATATATATATATATATATATATATATGTATATATCATATATAGTATAAAGTATATACTATATATCTCATATATAGTATGGCATATACAAATTAATTAAGTATGAAATGCAGAGTTGTTTATATTTTGACTATTTATTGATTCTTATAAATAATGAGAAAGACTTAATGATGCAGTACTAATGCTTAAAGTGTACAAGTTATTTTGTTTCTTCTTTAGGTTACTTAAGAGAGTTTACTTATTTTTTAAATTTATTAGGGTGGAGTAAATCTGTATGGAGTTCACCCTTTTTATATCAATACAGAAAAAAGTGGTTGGGCAAATGGAGTATTTCTCAAAAACAGTAATGCAATGGGTATGGAAGTTTACTTGTTTTTCTTTGTTTTTTTTTTCGACATAATAATATTTTATTTCTAAACATAGTTTAATTTTTAGATATTATACTACAACCTACTCCAGCAATTACCTATCGAACCATCGGAGGAATTCTAGATTTTTACTTTTTTCTTGGACCTACAACAAATGATGTTGTTTCACAATATACTGATGTAATTTAAACTTAGTTTAATTTTTTTTTCAGTTTAATTTTTAATTAATTTAATTTTTTAAAACAAAGTTGATAATAAATTTCTTTCTTTTAAATCAAATCTTTTCTTTGTACCTTAATTTTGTATTTGTAACTCTGAGCCCCTTAAGCTTTTTAGATTTTGTTTCATATTTCTAACGCTTAAATATTCTGAAATATTAATTTTTTTGACATTAAACTTGTCAGATGTTCCAGTTTCTTGAACAGAAGGTTATGCACTGAATCATGATTTAACCATTTTTTTTTTATGAGGTTTTTATGAAACATTTATACAAAAAAGGTAATGGCTATGATGGTCATTACTTTTTTGCAAAATATTTTTTTAGTATAGTTTTGTTCAATGAATCTTGCTTTTTTAGTATTTTGTTATCTATTTTATTTGAAATTTCTTCCACTCAATACTGTATCTTAGCTCTCCTTCCTGCTTGGATATTGTTAAACACACTATTTCTTATCAGAAATCTTCATCATTAATTTTTTGCACAATTAGGTGACTTTGTTATAATCCACATTACTAATGTAAATCCAACTTTCAAGAAAGCGAGGTTTAACTCTTTCCTTTTTCACTTCTATGCCAAAACTACACCCATTTTCTACTTCAATACTTCATCCTTCACAAAATTACACCCATTTTCTACTTCAATACTTCATTCTTCACAAAAACTGGACCCATTTTTTACTTCAATATTTCATTCTTTACAAAAACCACACTCATTTTCTGCTTTTTATAATTTCTTTTTATGTTAATTCGCTTCACCAAGGCCAAGAAGGCTACTACAGATGAGAATACTACTTAATTGTGGTTATAACCCTCTATTAACTCTATAACTCCAAAACACTACTGTGCGGAGAAACAAGTTGAGTACGGTACTACCAAGGATGTGGTGGGGATCCAAATTGGAACCTTTTGCTTATGAAGTAAGCTCTACCACTACACCACTACCACATTGAACTTCAATACTTCATCCTTCTCAAAAACTACACCCATTTTCTACTTCAACATCCTTCACCAAAAACTACACCTTTTAGCTACTCCTAATATTACTTTTCAATAGTTAATTTCATTACCATCAGTAGCCATCATAATTTAATTTCATTACCATCAGTAGCTTATTTACTTTTCTCATCTTAACTGCATTGTTACTTTTTCAACTGCATTGTTACTCTTTTCAAATAAAAAAATACCTGAACCTTGCACAACTTTTTTACTTAATCTCAAAGATTTCAGACCATTGTTAATAATCTGAACTCTATCACTTTTCCATCATTTTTTAAATTTAACATTTCTAGTTTTTTTTTTCTTTTGCAAAGTTTTTTGACCATTGGTCAGTGCTTCTTGACTAGTTTTTTGTGGCTAGCACTTGTTAAGAACTTTTTAAGAACCTGAAAAAGTTCAGCACTAATTTTTTAATTTCTTTTTACTAAGGTTGTTGGTCGTCCTACAATGCCACCATTTTGGTCACTAGGATTTCATTTGTGTCGTTGGGGATATAACAGTGTTGATAACACAAAAAAAGTTAGAGATAGAATGGCAGCCAATTATATTCCACAAGATGTTCAATGGAACGATATTGACTACATGGATAAATATTTAGATTTTACAATAGGAGAAAATTTTAGTGGTCTTAGTGACTTTGTTGGTTTGCTTCATGAACAAGGATTGCATTATGTACTGATGTTGGTAAGAACTCTGCATTTATAATTAATGGGTCAAATAAACTATCAAATTAGTATAAAATTTATGGGTTTTGTTAGGAAATTAGAGTTTTTCTAAGTTATTTTTCGAATTGATAGTATTAATATTAATTATAATAATATATTATATTAATTAATAATATTAATTACTAATACTATTTAAGAAAAATAATATTAGTAATATCAAAAAAGTTTCAAGGTAATTGGTTTCTAGAAAAAATGAGTTGAATTGACTTAAAATGAACTGTTGCAGTTTTATAAAAGACAGAGGGCTCTGTCAAAAGTTATCTTGTTTTTTGTCCCACTGATGTGATGTAATTTTTTGTTTATATTTTTCAATCAGACTATGAGCAAGACTTCTGAGATTACATTATATACCATTTGATATAGAAAATTTTTTAAATTGTTGCAGATAAATATATGTTCCCATTTATAAGGTATGGTTTATGTGTTCTCCTACTGGTTCAGGGTTACCACCAATCCTGGAAGGTTCTGCACTTTGAAAAAGAGTCCTGGAAAGTCTTTAAAAATATTGCATTTTATTAATATTTCTAAAAATTCTGTATGTTGTCTGGAAACTTACATAATACTATTCAATTTGTTTTATTAACTGTTTTAAGTTTAATTTTTTTGTTGAGCACTCTTAAAAATAAAAAAAGATGCTAATAAAAACACTTCAATGAAGTTTTAATTTCCTTGTTTTCCTTTTTTTTAGACAAAATACTTTCAGAGTTTTTAATTATTTTTAGTTTGAAGATTTTAGATTCTATATATTTATACATATATAGTATTGTATATTATTTATATGTATTGTATATTATTTACATGTATGTATTATTGTACACATCAGAGATTTGTTTATTGCGTTGTGGAAATATAAATACTAATATAAATAATTACTTTGTATTTCATTATAGTATAAATATTTTGGTGAAATATTTTTATATGAACAGGTTTAGTTTTTATAAAATATGGATCAAGTTATTAATAGAAAAGATGAATTATAAAGCGCCTGCTTTGGAAGTGGTCTGGAGTTTAAACCCCCTGGAAGTATTGGGCTTAACTTACTTTTCTTTACACCTTATTTTTCTTTACAGGGGGACTTTTGTCAATGATTTTATTTTGAAGTTATAGGGATATAAAAGTGATTTAAAAAAAGTTGAAAAAAAAAAAATTAAAAAATGCAAATAGCCTGCCATTGCTCTCTGTACTTTAGGGAGATAAATATAGATTTATATGAAAAAAGTTCATTTGTTTTGAAATTTAGGATCCTGCTATTAGTAATCAACAAACTGGATATCCTCCTTATGATATAGGAGTTCAAAAGAATATCTTTGTTAAAAATAATAAAGGTGAAAATATTATTGGAGAGGTTTGGCCAGGATCTACAGTGTTTCCAGATTTTTTCAATCCAAATGTATCTAGCTATTGGACAGATCTGATAAGTTCTTTTCACAAAAAGATTAGCTTTGATGGTTTGTGGATTGTAAGTGAAATATTTCATGATTTTATTTTTGTGCTTTGTGTATCTTAATTAATGTTTATCATTAATACTATTTTAAATGGTATTTTAAATAATAATAATTAATTTTTTTTGTTTCTTATTTAATTTTTTCATATTTTTCAAGATAAAACTTATCTTAAATTTCTGATGAAACTTAAAATAATAATGCAATTTGAAGCACCTATGGTACTAGACAAAGTTTTAAAAGTTTTGGATAAACAAAGTTACCTTTTTTTTGACTTTTAATTTAAGTTTAAATTCTCTGATTTTAAAGTTATTTTTGTAATATTGACACTATAAATACTAAAGTCAGTTTCAACACCACAATGATTTGCACAACACAGCAAACTAAAATGACAAAAATATTTAAAAAGTGAGCCTTTGCCTTTTCTTACAAAAAAATATTTAAGTCTTTTGTTTGAAATGTCTTTTAGTTAGTTATGCAACCATCTTTGATTTTTGTAGTTTTTAACAGTTCAATAATTAATAACATAATCCTATAGAAATTTGAATATTTTTAATTGTAACCAAAATTGGTTTTATTATTTTCTAGTTTAAAAATGTCATAATTTTCTTGTTTACATATAAAATATTAAGTTTTTTTTACAAAACTTTGAAGTTTTATCAAACTTCAAGCACAGTTTATTTAACTATTATATTTTGGTTGTGCATGACATTTAATGAACTCTATAAAATAAATGTTGTCTAAGTTTAAAGCAATCTCATTCTTATTTAAGGATATGAATGAACCGTCAAGTTTCAAAGATGGTTCAGCACAAGGTTGCCCTCAAAATTCTTTTGAAAATCCACCATATACTCCTGCTGTCATCGGTGATAAATTATCTCAGAAAACGTTATGTATGAGTGCACAGCAACACATTGGAATTCACTACAATCTACATAGTTTGTATGGTCATTCTGAAGCAAATGTAACCATGAAGTTAGTTTTAAAAATTATTTGTTGATTTTTAATACATAATATATTTTTTGTTATTTATCTGATACTTAAGGTTTTATTTGAATTTTCAGCGCACTTCAGCAAATTTTGGGTAAACGCTCTTTAGTCATTTCTCGATCAACATATGCAGGAACTGGTAGCCATGCTGGACATTGGCTTGGTGATAATCATAGTACATGGAAAGATCTTTACAGTTCAATTGCAGGTACAAAGTAATTATTTTTAAAAAACTAGTATGAATGGGTGGATAGAGGGTAGATGAGCTATAGGAAGGTTACTTCCTATGAATTTTGCTATAAAATTTTTTTATTTTTTTCATAAAATATAATATTCAATTAATACAATATTATTAGACAATGAGATAGTGTTGTCACGTTACTCGGTATTTTGGTACCAACACGGTTTTTTATTAAAAAAGTAGTTATGGTAAAATTTTTTCAAAGTGTATCAGTGTTTCCGAGTGTATCAGTGCATTAGTACGAGCATTTTTAATAGTACAATTGTGCTATTTATGAAACCCATTCTTTATTCAGATATTTTTCAGAATTACCATCTATAAGTTAAGGGTAATAGCGTAAAATAAAGATGTAATAGTGTATAAAAAAAGATGACTTGCAATTTAGTTAAAGTACTCTTCTGCACGGAAATTGTCAAAAAATGATACTGTTTATATAAAATAATATAAAAAAAAGCTGCATATATAAAATTTGTTTTTCTAAAATAATTTTAAATGCTCTCTATGACCTATCTTATATTTGTCTTATATTGTATTCCCAACCCAATTAATTTTTCATAACCGACAATTTAGGATTGATATACTCCAATAAGTCACATGACATCAATCACATGACATTCTTAGTGATTGAATTATAACTAGTTGACTCTTTTTTCTATTTTCGAGCATAAAGAATTTTTTATTAGTATTAAATTTCTGAATTTTTTTTTTTTAATTAAATTTGAATTTTTTTCCCTTTCTTGAAACTAATTATAGTATTTAAAGATAAGTCATAGATTCCAATGCATTTAATTTCAGTGACTAGCCCACAGACTTTTTTTGAAAAAAGTAATTAAATTTTACAAATTGTTTGCCCTAAAATTAGAACTAAAATTTTTGAAAAAACCACTTCATATCTTTTTTAGTGGTAGCATTACCATCATTTAATACCTAATTTGTAATGTTTTGGAAATTCCCAGCAGCCTCTGATAGGTAGGAGGCTAGTTGTTTCCCAAAAATTGCGTAATATTTCTTTTTTTTTTATTATAAAATAGCAAAAAATTTGATAACACAATTTACATAGAACAAAAGAAAAATAAACTGAAAAAATTTTAAAAGAATTTTTAAAAATTATTGAGTTTATAAATTGCAACAAGCGTCAGAAAATATTTTTATATACTTTGTTAAGAAAGTTTTTAGGAACAAAATACAAAAGAAATACAAAAATTACAAGTTTTTGCTAAAAATGCGAATTTTTGAATTTACAATTTTCTTCCTTCATTTAGGCACCGAACTTGGTAACAAGTACCAATTATTTTGATAGATATTGGTACCGAATAGTGAAACTTTAGTACAATGATAACACTAAAATGAGAGTATTTTAAAGGAAATATTTGTAGAACTATAAATATTGTCTGAACCCATTGATATCATTGATAATTTTTTTAAAGGGAATAGAGGATACTGCCACCTATTTATCCAAAATGCCCATTAGTTTATTTGGGTATTTTCAGTCTTTTGTTTTAAGCTTTATAAAATTGTGTTAAAACGATCAAAAATAAATTATAAAATGTAAATAAAATTTTAAAATTTTATGCAAATTTCAATCCATTTCACCCTTATTACAGGCTTAACCAATGCATTTGTAAAATAATTTACTTTATTAAAATATAGGCAATTTTTTAAGCTTGTTTAGCAACTTATTATAATCCAAGTTCTACATATCACTTTTTTTTACAATTAAAATTGAAAAAACAAACCTAAACCTTTTTTTTCAAAACATTTTTACTGTTAACACTAATTATTTTTATTTTTTTTACAATTTTTAAATTTTTGCTACTTGATAAGCTTTAGTTTTTTTTTTGTAAATGAAATTCACTCCTAATAAATCTGCAAAAAATCACTATTTAATTTGAAAAAATAATATTATTATTATATGTTATTGAGAATTAAACAAAAAACAAAGAAGAGAGTTGAAAAGCAAAAGAAGCAGTTGACAGAAGAAAAAACTTTGTATTAAAACTATTTTCAGGATAGCATAAAGACAAGAAAGATTCCTCAAAGTCAGAGGGAGAAAAATTCCCCAGAGTTGAGAAAAAAAAAACTAGATGATTGAAAGTTTTCTGAGCAAGAGATAACAGTTTAAAGTAAAAGGACTTTGCTGAATAAAAAGTTACGAGAGATTTAGCCTTGTTTAAGATGGAGAGCTTAAGATAGGAGGCTTGCTTGAGCAATCAACATATTAGTAATTGAAAAAAGAAGAAAAAAAGATCCAACCTTATGACAACAGGAGAGTGTCTCAACTGAGCAGCTAGAGTAGGTTCAATATATAGGTCCAAGTATAGGTCTTATGTGTTTATGGAACTTATATATATACCATCCTTTAATGTTGACATAACAATGTTGTTTTGATGTCTTTCTAATGTTTTTATAAAAATGTCAATTCAACTTCATTACATTGACATTATTTTGACATCATGATTGGCTACACTCATGATATTGATGTTAGATTGACATGTTTAACAATTTTCTTGTATATCCAGCAACATTGTTTTAATCTAACGTAACCTTTTTCTGGAAGTTTCAAATTAAAATTAAATACTTGTCTTAACTTTAAAAAAACCTTGTGAAAGTAAAAAATATTAACTTTCTGCAATGGTCTCACAGCTTGAAACAAAAGACAACAAAAATTATTACTTTAAAAAAAACTATATAATTTTTATTTTTTTAGTTCAACAAATTTACAGCTGACTCACATATTAAAAAAAAAAAGAAAAAAACTTTTGGCTAACTGAGTTTTTCAATGTTTTGGTTTGTAAATTGCTTTAGATCCAAAACTACAAAAAAAAAACTTTGTTGTAAATTCAAGTTTTGTACAAGTTAAATTAAAAAGTTTTTTTTCTGAAAGTAAATAATTTTTTTTTTAAAACTACCTAAATATTAAAAATTTCTTATTTCTTTTCCAAAAACTTTTTCTTAAAGATTTTTCTAAAAAGTTTTTTTGTATTAAGACACTTTAAACTCAGTTGTCATTAAGCTTTCGTTTTTTGCTTATCTTTTCATAGTTTGCTTGTTTGCCCATCTTATCAAAATTTTCTTGCTTGCTCATCTCTTTATAATGCAATGTTAAGTTATGTGCATCATGAAAAGTTGAAACCAAAAAATTGCAAGTTATATGCATCAGGTACATTTTAATATAAAGTCAAAAAGTTACGCATTATATACATCAGGTAGAATTCAAACTGAAACCAATAATACACTTTAAAATCTTATGTTGTTTTTATACCTTATTTTGAGATTGGATTAAAATATGGAAGGAACAAATATTAGGTCTACTATTTAAATAAAATTAGCTTTTAGAATTCTCTGCCATTTGTTTCTGATAGGTGTACTTTAGAAAGCTCTCTGCCATTTGTTTCTGATAGGTGTACTGATACTAAGTATAGTTGTTCATCATTGAAATTATCCAAGTTTGAAAAAAAAAAAATTATCATTTTAAGTTTTTTATTTTTTAAGGTATTATTAACTTCAATCTGTTTGGTATACCTCTTGTTGGAGCTGATATTTGTGGATTTAGTGGTGATACCACAGAAGAACTTTGCAGCAGATGGATGCAGCTTGGAGCATTTTATCCTTTTTCAAGAAACCATAATGATATAAACTCTATTGTAAATTCACTTTTGAATTTTTTAAGTATTTACATCAAAACTTGTTTATCAAATTGATTCACCTTTTTATTTAGGACCAAGATCCTGCTGCTTTTGGTCAAATGTTAATTGTTTCATCGCGTAATGCATTAAATGCTAGATACAGACTACTTCCGTATTTATATACTTTGTTTTTTGAAGCTCATGTTAATGGTACGCCTGTAGCCAGAGCATTGTTTTCAGAGTAAATATTTTTTTTATATATTGATTAATTTTTTTTATATATTCATATAATTTATAATAATTAATAATATATTTTTTTTATAACTATTGATTATTTTATAGTGCTAAATAATAATTTTTTTGGCTAATCTAGATTTCCGCAGGATATTAACTGCATAGAAATTGACAAACAGTTTATGTTGGGCAACGGTTTGCTAATAAGTCCTGTTTTAGAGCAGGTTAGATTATCACTTTTTAATAAAAATCACATAAAAAATTTTGGCATTTACCAAAATTTAAACTTTTAGGTTTTTAAAATCTCAAAAACAAAGTCTTAACCCAAAATATTAAAAATCATTTTCAAAAATATTGCAACTTAAAAGAATAATTTTTAAAAATGAAAAGAAAAAATATTTAAAGTTACTAATAATAAAAGTGTTGATATTTTGTTCAAAAAATTAGTCTGAATCTTTTATTTGTTGGAAATATTTGTACTTTGTGTTTTTTAAAACGTGTACACGAAATAAATGTGAAAGTAGAAAAACAACTATTTTTTTATATTTTATTTTTTTTATATTTATTTCGCCAATAAATACAATTTTCATATATATACAACAAAATAAATAATGGTTGGAGCAAGAAGAAGACATAATTCTGTCTTATCACCGTTGTTGATTTCCCAAAAAAGGTGGTTCTGGGTTAAGCAACGATGGAAATACTACACGACATGTATTTTCATCATAGGAACAAAAAGCTCAAATTATCAAAGCCTTCAGGATTTAAATAGACTGCTTAAAATTCAATGATTACTGTTTTGACACTGTTAGATTAAATGTGTTCCTTTTGCCATGGTATTGCACATCTGTGCAAAAAGTATTGGTTTATGAACTTGACATAATTTGAAGTTTTCTTGCACTATATTTTGTTTTCATTATTCAGTAAAACATTAATTAACTAAATATTTAAATGGTGATAAAAATATTTATTACATTATTAATTCAGATCAATATTTATCATTGCTGGAATTAAAATCAAATAATTTCTTTCAGTGTTTGATATTACCAATTATATTTAAGAGATTATATAATACTAAAAGAAATGACAAAAAAATTATGAAGAGATTCTCCTCTTTAAATCATTTCACTTTTTTTTTTCAGGTTTCAAGTAATTATCTTCAATAAGCAATAATTGATAAATTTTTATTTGGTTATAAAGTTTTCAAAATATCTTTTACAACTTTATCATGATCAAAATGAGAATTCCATAAATGTTAAAAATGTAAACAAATTTTAGAGTCATTCAATTTTTAAATTTCTAAAAATCATAGTTCAAACCAACATTGCTCTGATTGCATTCAAAAAAAAAGATTGTTATAATTTCTTGTAAAATCTTTTTCTCTCGTTTGCAAATTTTAATTAAATTCAAAAATGTTTTTTAAATTCAATTTTATCTGAAAAGATTCCTTAGTTATAGAAGTTTTAATAAAAGTTGTTTTTAAAACCTTTTTTTTTATCCATCAAAAACTAATTTTTATACAATATTTTAAATTTTAAATTTAGTAACTTCAACTTTTGATTTATGATTAAATCTGTTTTGTTGACTGGTGATGAAGAACAGTAGTGACACGAATAATAGTAGCACTTAGTAGTGACCTGAGCACTAGCATTTTTACTGTTATTTTATTCATCTATTTTTAAAACTGCAATAGATGTTTGTAAATATACATACATACATACATACATACATACATACATACATACATACATACATACATACATACATACATACATACATACATACATACATACATACATACATACATACATACATACAACTGCATACATGTATACATATATGCATACATTCATATAATGATATTCTTCCATAATATGATATATTTGATATGGGTGCAGTGGTGGTATTTAAGAGGCGAAGATAAAATAGAAAATATTTATTCATTATATTAAATTCTGCATAAATTTTTTTTAAAAATTTAACATGTTATGTTGTTTTTATTGACTTTATTCTTTTACAGGGTGTTACTTCTATAAATGCTTACTTTCCTAAAGGGTTGTGGTATAACTTTAATACTGTAAGTTTATTTGTAGATATTTTTATATGATTTTTAGTATTACTGTATGATTGTACACTACATGCATTACTATGAAATATTTTTTAATTCTTATCAATTTAAAAAAATTTAAAAACAAAAAGAAGTAAAAAAATTGACTGTTTTTTTTTTAAATAAAAACTCAGTTAAACAAAAAAAAAGTGGGAAAAAGATGAAAGCAAATATTTTACTTGCTTTATTTAAACATAAAAAAAAAAATTAAATAGAAAAAAAACTACTTAAAATAAAAAATAAGTGGACAAATACTTAATAATAGATAAATTTTTATACATTTTATTAATCTTAAGAAAGTTAAATATTTAAAAATTTTTTTTGGTTAACCCTTTACTTAGCATTGGCGACAAATGGCGTCATTTACTTTCCATAAGAATTTTTTAATGTTCCATATAAGGCAATACATATAAGTTATTTTCGTGCATCTACTATAAATAACTTTATTTTTACATCCAAATCAGATCATAAGCAGCAAAATATTTTTTTTGAGATTTTTTCAATAATTTACCAAGTAATGGGTTAAGTATAAATATAAATGATTGTAATTACTGGAAAACATTATTTAAAATAAGTTGCTTGTATCAAATAATATTTTTTGTATCTATCCTATATATCCATATAATATTAATTATAATTATTTATTATTAAACATAGTTTGTTTCTTTAGTTAAGTTAGTAATCAACTGTAAATACAGAACAAAACAACTTTGTTAGACTTAATGCAGCAAACGGCATAGTAAAAAAAAAATTATTTGGTGTGTGTATTTAGCACATATTGATGTTATTATATGCTGAGTTTCATAGTTTTTACTTGAAGTTTTACAAGCTTTTTTATGTTTTTACTGTTGTGGCGGTTGTAACTGGCAGTCGTAACAAAAAATCCAATGCTTAAAAACAACAAATAAAACAATGCATTCAATGATGCAAGAAAAAAAGTATAAATGATTATTAACAACCATGTATATTATGTTAAAAAATACACTATAACATTATCAAAGATCTCAATTATGGATAAACAATACGATTTTTGACGCTACAATCAACAATCCGATTTTTGACGCAACAATCCTGTTGTGTAGTGTCAAAAATTTATGCTTTGAAACATGTTTGTACAACCTTTACAATTTTAAAACCATCTTATGGGATATAAAAAAATGATTTTTTTTAATAACTTTTTTGGTTAAAAGTATTTTTAAATAGTTAAAACAAAGAACTATAGAATTAAAGAACAAAGAATTTATGTTTTCATAATACTTTTGCTTTTTATTTTTCCTCTTTCTAACTATGAAAAATCTCG